GCGTATTCTGGGGGGGCAATATTCCGCTCAAGACTAAAACTGCTCGAGGCAAACGGAGCAGCAAGACCAAGGCGACCCCTGCCACGCTGTCCGTGAATTTCTGCAATATCAGGGGACTTCACTCTAACCTAAACGCCGTCCACTACCATCTCGAGACGGCGAGGCCGGCTCTGCTCTTTCTGACCGAGACGCAGGTGTCCTCTCCGGCTGATGTCTCGTATCTCTCCTGTCCGGGGTACAAACTGGAACACTCCTTTGTGCCTCGGGCTGGAGTTTGCGTTTACGTCAGAGAGGACATCTGTTCTCGACGCCTCGGCAGACTTGAAGGTTCGGACCTGTCCATCCTTTGGCTACGCGTAGACAGCGACGACCATCCGCGCGTCTACGGGTGCCTCTATAGGTCCCATAGCGGTAATGCCGAAACAGACCGACTCTTCGACCACGTCCAAATGGCTGCAGATTCGTTGCTACAGCAGATCCCCTCCGCAGAGATCATGATCCTCGGCGACTTTAACGCCCATCACGCCGAATGGCTCGGTTCACTTTTAACCGATCATGCGGGGAGATCTGTTCATGATTTTGCCTTGGCATATGGTCTGACACAACTGGTTACTTCGCCTACGCGGATTCCAGATGTGGAGGATCATGCACCTTCCCTGTTGGACCTTCTGCTGACCTCTCACCCGGACGGATATCAGATTTCCGTTGACGCCCCTTTAGGTTCCTCGGACCATTGTCTTGTCCGGAGTGTGGTGCCACTCACGCTGAAACCGCGGTTGCATTCTGCAGGCTGCCGCCGTGTTTGGCACTATAGGTCAGCCGATTGGGATGGGATGCGGTCTTTCTTTGCATCCTACCCTTGGGGGCGGGTTTGCTTCTCGCCGGATGATCCCAACGTTGTTGCGGATTCTGTCGCTGATGTGGTACTTCAGGGTATGGAACTTTTTATTCCTTCCTCTGTGGTGCCCATTGGAGGCAAATCTCAGCCATGGTTTGGTCGCTCCTGTAAAATAGCATCATGCTATAAGCAGGAGTGCTACCGAGCCTGGGCTGACGCATCAGCGTCCAGGGATGTAAACATCAGCGCTCTAAAAAAGAAGTATAATTCCACCTCTAGGTCCTTCAAAAGAGTCATTGCCAAGGCAAAGTCAGAGCACATAGGCAGAATTGGCGAGAGACTAGTTCGTCTTCCTTCTGGAACCCGTGCATTCTGGTCTCTCGCCAAGGCTGTCCAAGGGAATTTCTGTCAGCCATCTCTTCCATCTCTGCACAGGGAGGACGACTCACTGGCCCACACCGCAAAGGAGAAAGCCGATCTTCTAGGCTCTTTCTTTGCGTCTAACTCGACTCTCGATGACGGGGGGAGTACGCCGCCGACCATCCCGCGGTGTGAGTGCTCCATGCCGGAAGTGCAGTTCACTCAGCGCTCGGTTCGCAAAGCACTCCTCTCCCTGGATATCCATAAGTCGAGTGGGCCTGATGGAATCCCCCCAATTGTGCTGAGGACGTGTGCTCCAGAGTAGGCACCGGTTTTAACGCGTCTTTTCCGGTACTCCTACTCCCTAGGCGTAGTCCCAAAATCATGGAAGACGGCTTTCGTCCACCCGATCCCTAAAAAAGGCGACCGCTCAGACCCGTCCAACTACCGGCCTATCGCCATCACCTCCTTGTTCTCCAAAACAATGGAGTCCATTGTAAACTGCCAGCTCATGAGGTACCTTGAGGATCACCAGCTGATTAGTGACCGCCAATACGGTTTTCGCCGTGGTAGGTCAGCTGGTGATCTTCTGGTCTACCTAACTCACAGATGGGCGGAGGCAGTAGAGTCCAAGGGGGAGGCATTGGCCGTTAGTTTGGACATTGCGAAGGCCTTCGATCGGGTTTGGCACAAAGCGCTTCTTTCGAAGCTCCCTTCCTATGGGCTTCCCGAGAAATTGTGCGATTGGATCACCAGTTTTCTTGCGGATCGGAGCATCAAGGTCGTTGTAGACGGTGCAAGCTCCGATTGCAAGCTTATTAATGCTGGTGTTCCACAGGGCTGCGTGCTATCGCCAACGCTGTTTCTTCTGCATATCAATGATATGTTGCAAACCCGTAGCATTCATTGCTATGCAGATGACAGCACTGGTGATGCTCTTTACACCGGCCGAGCCAATATTTCTCGGGAAAACGTCTCTGAGTGCCGGGACAAACTTGTGTCTGAAGTCGAGTCTCTGCTGGACAGAGTCTCGGATTGGGGGCGACTAAATCTAGTCCAGTTTAACCCCCAGAAGACACAAGTTTGCGCGTTAACCGCTAAAAAGAACCCCTTTGTCGTATCCCCTCAGTTTCAAGGCACTCCCCTTGTTGCCTCAGCCAGTATCGGAATCCTCGGCGTCGACATATCGAGTGACGTGCAGTTTCGTGGTCACTTGGAAGGGAAGGCCAAATTGGCCTCTAAAAAGCTTGGCGTGCTCAGCAGAGCGGGACAGTATTTCATGCCGGCACACCGCCTGCAACTTTACAAGGCGCAGGTTCGGCCGCTCATGGAATACTGTTCCCATCTCTGGGCTGGGGCTCCCCAGTACCAGCTCCTTCCACTTGACCGCATCCAGCGCAGAGCGGCTCGAATCGTTGACGACCGAGTGCTTTCCGATCGGCTCGATTCACTGGCGCTGCGAAGAGATGTTGCATCTCTTTGCGTATTTTATCGCATCTATCACGGGGGAGTGCTCTGAGGAATTGTTCGGATTAATCCCAGCCGCCAAATTTCGTGAACGCACTACACGGCAAACGTCCCGATACCATCCACACCATCTGGATGCTTGGCGGTCCACCACTGTACGTTTCAAAAGGAGTTTTCTTCCGCGTACAACCTCTCTGTGGAATAATTTACCACCGGTGATTTTTCCGGACCGATACGACCTGGGGACCTTCAAGAAAAGAGCTTACTCCTTTCTAAAGGGCCGGCAACGCACCTGCAATTCCCCTGGTGTTGCGGTTGATCATGGGCGGCGGTAGTCACTTAACATCAGGTGAGCCACATGCTCGTTTGCCCCCTCTTCTATAAAAAAAAAAAAAAAAAAAAAAAAAAGATGGAACTGGAATGTTGATAGGATTCAGAATGAGTGGACTTCAGTTTGTTGCGAATATTGCTTTATTTATTTGATATATAACTTTCAGGGATGTTCAATGCATAGTTTTACGAGTATATTTACAGGGAATACATTGTACAACGATATTTTAGTGGATGAGATGTTTCGCTCCTATTTTATAGATAATAAGTAATAAGATTTTGTATTTTGTAAATAAAAATTTTAACAAAATTAGGTAATGTGTTTTATTGATGAGTCAGATTAGTGTAGATAGGAACAAAGGAGTATAATACAATAGCACCACGCTGAGGAAGAATAGATAATGACGGTATTCAATGAACGTATAGATAAGTAGATAAGAACAATGGAGCGCTAATGACGGTGGAGGCCTTGACCGGATATCAATTAGATAAGAGTTAATTGATCTGCACATCTCCGGAACCGTGCATCCTACGCAAAAATGGACCGCAGATTCGTGATCAGAGCATGCCAAAACCTTTTCTTTTTAGGATCGTTAGGCGACGAACGTCGTACTTGTACCACTTCTGACTCAGTGAGCCAGAACTGGTACAACGTAACTATTGACATGCTGTTTTCCTCACGATGTTTTCCTTCACCGCCAGGCACGTGGTAAACCAGCACTTAAAGTTCCAATTAACTACTTCATTGATGCCGGTGGGAATCGAAACCGGTTTGCTCGCGTACTGTGAAATTTACAGCGAGCGATAACCATCTGAGCTACCACGGCTCAGATGGTTACATAGTAATTGAAAAACGGCAACCACTTCGTAAAAGAAAGAAGGTGAGAATAACACAGCTATCTTATCTTGTACTGTGTTAAACGTCATATGTTTAAAGACTTCCGCTGTAAGACTTGTTCCTATTTTAGGACTCTCTCTATGCTAGTAATTACTCTGAAGCGAAATCGCTGGCAAAACGACATCGTCACGTCCTCGAAATAAAACAAAGATAAAATAGAACGTATTTTAATAAATTTACAATAACACTTATGATATATATTATAAAATCACAGCAACAATAAGATTTTAAGCACGGACGGTTTTAAGCAATGCAATGACTTTGAAAAAAAGGGTACGGTTCTAAGGCAATTCTTAAAAATTACTATGTTTAAAAATTGAAATATAGTACTTGTTATAAATATCTAGTATTTAAAACTAAATAAATAACTTATGATGTATTACATACTGCCTAAACATAATGTAATTCCTTGTACAAACAAGAAAAAGTTTTAATTAAGAAACATTTTATAAATTATGTTGGATATTCGTTAGTGTTGAAAAAGACTAGATAGTATTATTATAATTGTAATTCATTTTAATTAAAATGTATCCCCATCACCAAAGTATTATTGATACTCAGCAATATGTACAGGGTTATTTTGCAATAACCGGCCAAATTTGCAGAAACGGTTCAGAATTAGTAATGTAGACAAATGGCGAAGAAAAATTAATGAAAAGATCTCAAAAATTGTGTCCTTTTGTCTTTTAAATTCAAAATGCATATGTTTATATATTTCATAATTCGTAATGGTCGATCGGTAGGCAAAAACGTTGTTGCCCATAAATCACATTCAATTTGGGATAATTTTAAATAAAAGTAGAAGCCTTATTCACTCCCATTTTCAAGAACTACAATATCATTATTAACCTATATATTTGAACTTAAGTTTAAAATTTAGCTAGTCTGTGAAAAATAACCTTGTACGTAGCCTAAAACTACGGTTTTAAAATGTTCTTATGTAATGTTTTGTGTGTTATTTACTGATGACTGTCATGTCTATTTATGTCTAAAAGTTTACACGTGTAAAGGCTTACATCGAAATAAACAATTATGTTTGATTGAAAATCGAAATTAAATAAGTTATTAAATATATCTTCAGTATATTCGTGTTTCGATAGATTAAATTTATCGGTCGCGTACTACTTTGTACTTCTGAACGCGTAAGACGATTGGTTCAACGGGCCGGTGGCTCGCCGCTGCTGGCCGCCGGTACGTGAAGCCGCCGCGTTTATTTGGCCGCGCGTAGATTATCTCCGGTGCTTGCATTTCCGACGACGAGGTTGATAGCTCCGTTATACGAGAGTCTAAACATTTACAAATGACGAGGTAAAGTTACAGTTTAAACTATACTCAATTAAATCTAAGTAACAACTTTTAACATTTCGTATTAATAATTTTGCAATAACTTTGTAGAAGCGTACTCACTCGATTAAAAACAACATTTTACGTAAATTCAAAGAATTATGAAGTTATCTGTAGTATGTAGTTCTTAATCACTAATTTAGGTAAATTCAAATCTTTCAAAAAAGCAAAATATAAACAATTTAACTTGAACCAACTTCTTTGCCTGACGTTAGTTGATTAATAGATACTCGTATATCGTTAAGTACCTTACCGCAGTGTTGGGATAATTAAAATTCTGCTGCGGATGCGTCAATAAACTAAAAACAGTAAGCAATAAATACTAAGAAACTAATAAATTTTGTGCTTTGAATTATCTGTTTCTAATTTATTCTGGTATTAATGGGTTAATCTAGATAAAACTGCAAAGGATTATCAACTCTTAAACAATCAATATTGATATCTCTTAAGAATAAAATATTTTAGGTATCGATTTTTCGGGTGACATGCCTTGTCCAATAAATCTGACAGCGTCAAAAGGTGTTTCTTAGATTTGAGGTATAGAGGGTTAAGGTAAGGAGGACCATCTCTGTGTATGAAAAAATGTCCGTCGAGAAGCGTGCAAGTGGGGTGGTGCTCAGGTAGCATGGGCGCAAATTTTAAAGATTTATTTTACGTACGTTGGTCGGAAAAAACGCGGAGGCTGTAATTTTTTTATTCTTTAAATTACGCCCACTTGGAGAACTTTTCACTTTACGAACTTTTCCTATTATTGTTCAATTATTTTTTTAACCATTACAACAGTAAAGACAATAAAGTCTCGAAAAGGTATTATCAAATGCTTACAAAAATTAAATCATTCTTCCCATCTATCTTAGCACTTTGATAGCTTATTGGAGCGAAGCTCCCATAGCGCAAGAAAACTATTCTTTGAAATCTATCTCCTCCGTAACCCATAGGTCAATTTACATAATTTTTTCGGAAATATTTGTAGCTCAACGCAAACAAGGTTTGTAAACAATAAAATCTGAATTTGTCTAAAAGATATTAAAAAAATAACCGAAAACTAAATAGTATAATATGGGAAAATACATGTAAAGCAAAAGCGCGCGCTTTAGACTTTTACTCCACTCCGTTTATGATGCTAGTAAAAGGTTTTGCATGTGCATCGGCCATGGCCGTTTTATTTTAATTTAATTACGTTGAACTACGTAAATAGTTGACGTTTTATAAACTGCAATATTCTTAACTGCGCTAGTCACCACAGATAATAAATTTTTCAACTCAGCACACTTCACTCCGTTTACAACTGCTAAATTCCTATAATTTCCTTTTGTTACGCAAGCGCTGTTTTGGTGGGTTCTTGAACTATAATTTGCTGCTTACAGCTGCAAACTTTTCGACTTGTCCCCCCCCCTAAGATTGTCCTTCTTACCTTTTCCCTCCATAATTTGGTGAAATAGGTAAGGGATTTAACCATTATTCGTCTAACGACTGTTTCGTCTATAAGTCATATACATTATTTTTGTATCCTGGTATTTTACATAATATACATTGCACGTGGATTTGGGACCATTATTTGTAGGTCCGACAAACAATAGGTCCGTGCTTCGAATTCGAACCTGCGGCCTTTTATTAGCTATTGTGTAGCTAAGGTACCAGTTAATTAAATTAGTGTTAAAACCAATTCACTTTCGAAGACGTGGACTTCTCATATAATATAGAGAATTTTTGTACGTGGTAGCTCCACGCGGTTCTAGAAGGGTACCTTTTCACAGAATACCAATGTGAAACAGCATACGTACATACAGCCTTTGCTGTCCGTCGTCTTTAGTCCACTGCCGAAAGTAGTGTACTTAGTAAGTGTAGAAAACCGGAGATCCTTGTCGCATCTGCATTTTGATTCTTAATCGAGTATAAATGTAGATGTGTATGGGCCACAGCATCCACTTACCGCCAGGTGGCCGCGCTGCGTGGACGTTTGTCACTGTTGTTATATAACTAGGGCCGATACAGATGCAAGGTAAAACTTTTTGCTAGCATCATAAACGAAGCGGAGTAAAAGTCTAAAGTCTATCTTTATTTCAACAAAATATTCAATCATATGGTGTGATATTTTGCAGATGTATATTAGCAAATTGATTTGATAGTAAGAGAAAAAAAATCAAATTCAGATTTTTATTTTTTTACAAACCTTTTCTGCGTTGAGCTACAAATATAGCCGAAATAATCATGTAAATTGGCCTACGGGTTACAGAGGAGACCGATTTCAAAGAATCGATTTCTTGCGCCATGGGAGTTCTACTCCAAAAAATGCCATAATCATCACGCTTGAAAGGCCGATTAGTGATTGCGGTACGAGACGTAAGCGCATTTGACGCTGCTCTCCGTAGCAGTTTTTCGATTTGGCATCTTGCATATACGAGTAGGATATACTGCACTCACGAGACAATATTAGTGATTGAATTTCTTCAAATCAAATCTGTTTATTTTGTGGACATAGATTAATTTACAGATCTAACGTTGATATCACAGAGTAAAAAAATCTATGCGCTCTGCCTCAAATTTTCACACCGCCTAAATGCGTGTGATTATAATTAACAATTTTATTAGTGCCAGCCAAAAACATTTATGTAGTAGCTTTTTGATGCCGGTCGAGATCGAATCCAGCTGAAGCGGCAATGGGTCGGATATATAGCTCAAGTATCGTCAACGAAAAAAGGTTCACGAATGGTAACATCGCACCGGTAAGCGAAGTATTACGGTGGTCCCCACTAGATGGAGAGACGACCTAGTACGATATGCAGGAAGTCGATGGACGCAAGTGGCTCTGGACCATGCTTGGGGGAGTTCTATGTTTAGCAGTGGATGATGAGACAGTCAGCTCGACAATAAAAAGGTACTTTTGTTTTTCATCACCTCTTAAAGGTTCATACCTGGATATACCATTGCACTCTCGCATTGTAGAAAAGATTTACGTAGGCAGGCGGATGGACAATATCAGTACCAAGCGTTTTGTACCTTTGATGTTTCTACCCATTGTTGGTTTCCTAGTTCTTTTACGACGTTTTACTTCTGACATAATGAGATGGGTAAGCGCCATCTGTCGGAAGGGTTTTCAGCTAATTTCCATAGTCGCCTCGTAGGTGTCGTAGGACGATACCTACGAGGACCATAGAGTGATGAGTTCTCTCATCCCGTCACCACACACTAGCTTAGAAGTAATATTCCCCACCTATCATTGATGCAGAATGAGTTGGTCGTCGGGCATAGTAGTGCTGATTTGGTTCCAACTCTTTGTCGTACGGGTATCCAAACTTGTATGTAAAGGACGGTGATATTATACGGATAATGGGTATCGGTGGGTATAAAGGTATAGCAGCGTAGGCGATAGATTCAAATTCCGCCCCGAAGTTGCTGGCGTAGACATCTCGAATGCTGCGTTCCTCAAGTGTGTCGTGTAACGATTCACTGCGAACTCCTGCACTCAGATATAGCAGAAATATGCTCACCTGGAAAGAATTTGTTTTTATATTAACGTAATATACACAGGATTTTAAAAGTATTTTCTTACATGATTAAAACTACTTTTACGGATTTTATCGCGTTTATTTTTACTTTTTATTTTTAATTCCCGACGTTTCGGGCGCTTTCCAGCACCCATGGTCACGGGGGACTGAGATGACTGACGTCCCGATGTCATTGTTAAACCCGGAGTACCTTCAGCATTTTTAATTATTGTTTATGGTCCGATCTATGCAAAATGAACTGACTATGTCTTGAGGTCTTGCAGTGGTATGCTTGGGTTTAGTTTTAATTTTATTGATTATAGGATCCCAAGCAGGTGGTAGTACCCAGCCTCCTTCTCTATTGAAATTAGGATGTTTTTCAATTTCAATAGCCTCACGTATCATCCATGGTAGGAATCGGTGTTCTTTCGCGAGGATTTGTGGTCTATCAAATCTGATGTAATGGTTGGGGCCAAGTTAGGGGCCAAAATTGGGGGGGTTTAACAATGACATCGGGACGTCAGTCATCTCAGTCCCCCGTGACCATGGGTACTGGAAAGCGCCCGAAACGTCGGGAATTAAAAATAAAAAGTAAAAATAAACGCGATAAAATCCGTAAAAGTAGTTTTAATCATGTGCAATGTTCGCGTAAATATAAGAAATCATTATATTTTCTTACATTTATGATGTGGTGTGTGGGTGACAGAGGGAAACAAACCTATGGACAGGCAACAGCGTCTTCCTGGTAACAACTAGAACATAAGAGCTGCGGCTGCCAGCACCCCCGTCCGAACATGCCGACTGTTGCAAATATTTCACTTTTGAGGCAATTTATCGGGAGGTCTGTGTTCAGCAGTGGACTTTGATGGGCTGTTATGATGACGTGCTTTTTATTGTTATTATTATTTATATTTTGTGCTGTATGCTTTAATTGAAAATAGGTGTTCAAATAACTCAAAAGATTATGGGTTTAAGGATTCCGGGTCCGTGTCACTTTATAGGGCTAGCCTTAGTTTTTTTTATAGAAGAGGGCGCAAACGAGCATGCGGCTCACCTGATGTTAAGTGAATACCGCCGCTCATGATCAACCACAACAGGGGGTTTGCAGGTTCGTTGCCGGCCCTTTAGAAAGGAGTAAGCTCTTTTCTTGAAGGTCCCCAGGTCGTATCGGTCCGGAAAAATCGCCGGTGGTAAACTATTTCACAGAGAGGTCGTATGCGGAAGAAAACTCCTTCTGAAACGTACAGTGGTGGACCGCCAAGCATCCAGATGGTGTTGATGGTAATGGGACGTTTGACGTGTAGTGCGTTCACGAAATTTGGCGGCTGGGATTAATCCGAACAATTCCTCAGAGCACTCTCCGTGATAGATGCGATAAAATACGCAAAGAGATGCAACATCTCTTCGCAACGCCAGTGAATTGAGCCGATCGGAAAGTACTCGGTCGTCGACGATTCAAGTCAAGTGGAAGGAGCTGGTACTGAGGAGCTCTAGCCCAGAGATGGGAACATTATTCCATGTGCGGCCGAACCTGCGCCGTGTAAAGTTGCAGGCGATGTGCCGGCCTGAAATACTGTCCCGCACTGCTGAGCATGCCAATTTTTGTATTGAACTAAGAATTGGGAAGTAAGCTACCCCCTAAAATACATTTATAATATTCTAGTTAAATGACTGTTAATTTATGTAGATGTTACACGTATATCAATAAAAATCATTAAATATGCAATGTATTTGGTCAACACTCTACACAACATGATTACGACTATTCTACCGTCCTAAGTATAATTACTTAAAATAAATCAACTTCAAAAAAATAAAAGGAATATAATGGTCGACACACACGATCGGTTCAACTGGTCAGTTCAAAACGGATGTAAGACAAAACGATTTCCAGACCCAGGGAAAATCACGGATTTTCCCGGGCGCCGTCAGTTAAAAATTTCAACTTAAGATTTCACACTCACGGTCAGTTTTTGGGTGTACGTCAGTTCAACTGATCAGTTTAATTGACTGTGTGTGTCAAGCATAATCATCGAAATCAAAAATAGAAATAGAGATAGACGCACCAGACATCCTCAATTTCATACCCAAAAATTGATCTCGTCACCTAATTTGAAATCTTTAATAGAGAACTAGTCAATATAGAGTTTATAAATCACGTTGAGTTATATATACATACACACACACATATATGTAGACAAATTATATTACATTGCGTATGAACAATCTTATCAAGTCCTCTAAAACATATACGGGAGCTAACTATCCTATATGGAGATGACTTTGCAAATTGAAGGGTTTGAAGATTTTCTAATGTGGCTCATTAAAGAACTTGAACCAAATTTTTAAGGGAATAGGGGACATTTTTATATAAAATTACTAACTTTCTAACGAAAATTCATGAAATCGGACAACGTTATTTTACGATCTTAGTTATTTTACTTAGCGCTAAGTTAAGAGTTGTCGATAAACATTTCATAAAAAAATATTCCGACAAAATGCGAGACCTTTTTAGAGGTCGGTAAAAAAGACACATCTATGTGTAAAAGACACATCTATGTGTAAAAGAGTTAAATAATATTAATTTTCGGAACCGTTGAAAATGGAAGCTCCAAACGCTTATATATTTACTATCGTGTCTAAAATACTTGAATATTTTTATCTGACACTGACTTCTTCAGTTGTTCTGACTTCCGATCCGAGTGTACACACAAGACATTTCCATAAAAAATGATGAAAGAAAGATGTGTTTTATTAGTATTATTATTACTAGTATTACAGTGAACTTTCTTGTCATTTCTTGCCACAAGTATAATTACTTTTGGTATTTTAACGATAATAGAATTATTAAAAGCCGGATACAGTCGGCCCCATACAACAATATATATATATATATATATATATATATATATATATATATATATATATATATATATACATATACTTTTAAAAGTAAGACATTATAAAAATATGTTTATAACGGGATACGTAACTTACAAGCAAATCCATTTTGGTGACCGCGCCACAGAATAAATAATAGAACTATGTATCCTCGCCGCGCCAGTCAGCAAGTCTGTCTGGGCAACTGCGTGTGCACGGGAGCTTCGCTTTTCCGTGGTACCTACATTGTTGCGAAAATCTACATAGAGCTGTTAATTCAATTTTCTTTGGATAGTTATTTTAATGAGAGTGTCCAATGTAATAAATCGCGCAACTTTTTTTTTATTCACCAGACAATTAAATTCCACTGCTGAACGAGGCTTCTCTCGTTTTGAGTAGGATTTCATTCACCCTCGACAGGCGGATTAATGATTACTGAACCACTGCCGCTGGTCTGAGTATTTTGGGTCTGATGTAAACGAGATGGCTTTATCACCTACATTTTACGTGGTAGAGCCATATTATATTATGGTTTTTGTGCAATGTGCAAATTAGACGGGGCGGCTTGACAAGGGTACTACGTTCTCAAAAAATACCAGCGTAAATGTAATTTGTAATTTATGGTGAGTGTAAATAACCGAAATCACTTTTTACTGAAAACGAGGCATTCCATCTAAGGCCTCAGGGGTGACAACGCATCTGCATTTTGTTTCCTCAACGAGGGTAAGTATTGATAATAGATATAAGAAAATTCAGTTTTTCTCTTTTCCAATTTTACATAACAGGATTCGGATTCCATTGAAAAAAATGTTTATCGTACTTTAGTAATTATATTATTCTAGAAATCTTAATTTTTTGCAGCTAAGATGTAGTTCACACAGGAAAATGTCGTACATAAAATCTTTCTGTACATAAATCTCGTACAAAAAACTTTAAGGTGCGAACGGGTAAAAAGCGTCAGTTGATATTGCATGGTAAATAAAAAAATACCTCTTTATTCATTTTATAAAATAAATATTAGAATTCATTACTTAATTAAATAAATAGTTTATTTCATTAAGTTGTAATAATAATAATAGCTTAACAAATTATCTAAGTAAAGATATTGCTCGCGATTATCGTGGCGTATCAGTATGTCAAGTCTCATTAATAACTAATAAGATCTGTACTCAGTACTACATTCTGGCAATAAATAAAATAGAATAGAATAGAATTAATTACTGAAAAAATTAAAACATTGTAATGTGTTGTGGCTACTCTATAGTGTGTGCCGGCGAGCACTTCATGCACTTCACAAAAAGACTAGTAGTAAGTAGAATTACTAGACACAACCGAGCCCAGCCGGCGTGGCGCCTTCCTTCCGTATGCGTTTTGCACGCTAATTGTCCGTAGTTTTATTATTCGTACTTCAATTGGTCGATTTAAATGTATTAACGATTAATTTTTTTATAGAAGAAGAAACGAGCATGCGGCTCACCTGATGGCCGACTCAAGTGTCGAACGCTACCCACGATCAACTGCAACACCCAGGGGAATTGCAGGTGCGTTGCCGACCTTTTAAAAAGTAGTAAGCCTGTTTCTTGAATGTCTCTAAGTCGTTTCGATTCGGAAAAATCGCCGGTGGTAAACGGTTCCACAAGTAAGTCGTGCGATGAAGAAAACTCCTAGTATAGTTTTTAACGATTTTATCACGTACAAGCTTATTAAACGTGGCTTCGCTTGTGTGGGTTTGAAATTTGGACACATCAATAATACTATTTCGTACTAAAATTAGCAAAACTGAATCACTTGTAGATACACCTCGATTAAGTGTCTACAGTGTAGATACTCGTATACTATATATATCTATATTGTAGACACAGATTTATATATATATACACACACACACACACATATATATATATATATATATATATATATATATATATATATACATATATATATAAAAATAGAAATTGAAATTAGGCAATATTTTATGCTATAGGAACACTGTACATATAAGTGAGTTTATGAGAATTTCATTAATATCATACGATACCATTTTTATATCGGGCATGTCTTCCGATGATGAGATGTGCCTTTATGAAGGGAAAATTGTTAATGCAAAAAATGCTTAATTTACAAAATTATTAATAATTAATTTTGATATAGTTTTGACAAAATAATGTTGAATAAGTCGTGCGATGAAGAAAACCATAGTATACTTTAACGATTATCACTACAAGCTTATTAACCGTGGGTTTGAAATATAAATCAAAACATTTCGTACAATTAAGAAAACTGGATCACTTTATACACCTCGATTCAGTGTCTACAGTGTAGATATACTATATATATCTATATTGTACACAGATTTATATATATACAATATATATATATATATATATATATATATATATATATATATATATATATATATTGTTTAGTTGTTAATATCGTCAAACAACCTCTATTCATTATCTTAGTCACGGTATATCATGATATAGTCAACAAATACTCGTGCAGTGTAAAATTTTATTTAATAAATTCTAAGATCTAACCAATATATAAATGAAATGCCTTTATTTAAACTATAAAGATAATGAGAGTTTTGTAATAATTGCAGTTTTTACCACTTTATTTATAGACAAAAAACTAATACATACTAAAAACTTTTTTAAATAAGAAAATAAACTTGAAACATCTCAGATTCCATGATTTTCGATAGATGTCACTATTATATGTTAAGGTAGTAATTAGTTAGTTACTATAAAATTTATTTATCCCTACACTAAAATGAAATAAAATAACTGAAAAATGAAAATTAGAATTTTTAAAAGTAAAAAGTAGAATAAAGTTACAGCCTATATACGTCCCAATGCTGGGCACAGGCCTCCCCTCATATCTGAGAAGGTTTTAAGGCAAGGAAGTGTCCGCCGCGCTGCCCCAATGCGTGTTGGCGAACTTCACATGTTTTTTTATAGGATAGGATGATAAACAAGCACTTAGTCCACCTGATGGTAAGTGGTTGCTGTGGCCCATAGACATCTACATCTATCCTCGATTACGAATCAAAATGCAGATGCGTTGTCATCCGTGAGGACTTAGGTGGAATGCCTCGTTTCCAGAAAAAAGGATCTCCGGTTCTCTACACTCACTATAAGAAACACAGCAGCATTAAGCTACTATTTGACGCTAATATTCTGTGAGAGCGTGGTCCTTCCCCGGTCGAGCCGACCCATTCGTGCTACAACTATACTACTAAAATATAACTGCAGCATGGCTCTATCACGTAAAATATTTTTTTTCTTATTCCTCAGACATGCAGGTTTCCTCACGATGTTTTCCTTCACCTCCGAGCACGTGGTAAATTGGCACTTAAAATTGCAATTAACAATTTCATTAGCGCCGGCGAGGACCGAACCCGGGTTACTCGCGTTCTGTTATATTTACAGCGAGCGTTTACAGCACTCTGAGCTACCACGGCTCTTTCAATTTTTAAATCAATTATAAATTGAATTATTTAAACATATAAATGTAAGTTATTTATATTATTTAACCTATTAGTAGCTGGAGACAAAATTACGTTACTTTTTGTGTTTTACCTTACATATTTTGAAAAAGTGAAACGTAGATTGTTGGCGTAGTTCAATTTAATAAGCAACGGTTAAAACTAATTTTAGGCTTTATTTATAAATAATTTATTTATTTTAATGAAATACAACAATATTATACAACTAGCTGTTACCCGCGGCTTCGCGTGCATGGTCACTGAGAAATGAATTATCCATTGCTTTTTGAATTGAAAGAAAACTGAGTTTTATAGATTTGTCAGAGATGCAGCCATTAAAAGGAAACTGAGCAAAATTGATTCGGCAGCCTGTTTAAATGTTTTGAAACGCAGCGTATAGGAAAGCATGAAAATAGCCTGCTTATTCCAAATGGAAATGGGATATTTTTTTAATTAATGGAAACAGAGCATAATTATGCTCAGTTTCCATTAATTAAAAGAGCATAAATATATACCCCCCATGAACAATTACACAAATAGACGGCCCCCAGTCCCCGGCGGCCCCGCTATTCCTGGCTACGGTGGCGACCGTGGTAACGGTGGGGCAGGGGGTGCAAAGAATCTCCGGTGGAGGTTCGGTTGCCACCTACGACGACTCGACCTGGCAACATTTAACGCACGCACCCTGAGGACTGACGAGAAGATCCTGGAGCTGGAAGAAGAGATAGACAAGTTGCGCTGGAATATTATAGGATTATCCGAGGTCCGAAGAGAGGGGGGAGGACACGGTGATTCTCGAATCCGGCAACTTGTTCTATCACCGGGAGGGCGACCATCTGTCCCAAGGAGGTGTCGGATTTATCGTCCACAAGTCTCTCGTCAACAAAGTTGTAAAGATTGGGAGTGTGTCGACGAGGGTCGCGTACCTGATACTCAGAATCACCAAACGGTATTCGCTGAAGGTCATATAGGTTTACGTACCAACCTCGGCACATCCCGATGAGGAGGTGGAGGAAATGTATGAGAATATTTCTAAAGCCATGCATTCCTCCAAAACCCACTACACGGTGTTGATGGGAGACTTCAACGCAAAACTAGGCACAAGAGAAAACGGTTAGCTGAAGTTAGGGAAATTTGGAGTAGGGCAACGGAACCGAAGGGGCCAGCAGCTTGCCGACTTTATGGAGAAAGAGGGACTTTTTATAACGAACTCTTTCTTCCAGAAGCGGCCCCACAGGAAGTGGACCTGGTCGAGCCCCGACGGTTCGACAAAAAATTAGATTGACTTCATTATGACGACCAGACGCCAACTGTTCAGTGATGTGTCAGTGATCGCTAGGGTGAAAACTGGCAGCGATCACCGAATGGTTAGAGGCACACTGAACCTAAACGTAAAGTTGGAGAGGTCTCGTTTAATGAAGTCAACGCTCCGTCCCACTCGTGCTCTAATCCAGAATCCCGAAAACTTTCAGCTCGAGTTACGTAACCGCTTTCAGTGCCCACAAGATTGCAATGCAGTGGACGATATGAATGACAAGCTCGTGGAATCTGTCCATGCGGTCGGAGCTAAGTTCTGCAAGACCCGTCGCAGAAGAACACAAAAACTCTCCGATCACAACTTAATCTCATGGCTATTAGA